TTTTACATTATACATTGTATATATAAAGAGAAGAACACATTGCTTAGAAACTTATAAGAATCATGTTCTGGACCAGTTTCATGATTTTAAGGTGTTTCTTGTCTTACTTTTGGATTCTGAGCTGCTGTCAGACAACCTTTGGTCCAGGTCAGTCCTCTTCATCATCTTTAAAACCTCCTTGGTCGTCTCCACAGACCGTTGGCCAAATGTCTGCACCAATAAAAACACAGTGTCCTGCAGGCCCATTGTCTCCAGCAGCCTCCATGAGATGCCTGTTGTGTCCAGCAAACTCCATTTTCCCAGCCTAAACAAATGGAAGTGAACTTGACTCAGGGCCAGTTTGAACTCCTTGACCTCCCCATAAGTTAAATCTTTCAGTGTTTCCAAAAGCAGCTCTATCACAGACGCCATCGTTTCCACCTGGTAAATTCAGAGAAAATGTTCAAACTGCAATATCTCAGCTGGGACTATTACAGATTTTCAATTATCAAAATAGCAGCAGATTTATTTTCTGTGGATTAACTGATCTATTAATTGTTTCAGCCTGAGTTTAAAGTCAGACAGATGTGACATTACTCACTTTCTGGGTCAGTGCTGGCCAATGTTCATCCACAGAGTGTTTCTCTGAGGACAAAGAAAATATAAAAGGACTCATGAATGATTTATTAATATCATTATAATGAGACACTGTTAGACAATAAGCAGAAAGGATTCATTGCAAAATCAACAAACAAATATACTTAATAGTAACATCAAAATAAATAACCAGTTTACCCTAATAAACATCTTATCTGACATTAAACTCTGTGTTAAAGGTTGCTACACTGAAATGTAAATTGGAATAACTGCAGGACTTTAATTTAACTAACTATAATCTAAGTTAGATCAACAATATTTGTTATTTTATCATATTTTATTAATATTTCAAATGTAGGGCTCCTACCTCCCTCTGTGGTATTCACATAAAATGAACCTGCAATTGCCACTCATTTAATAAAAAAATGAACAGTAAAAATCAATACACTGTGGGAAACCTTTATGTGTACTTGTCCTGAGAGCAATATTGAGTCCTGAGAATAATAAGCCTTCAGTATTTTAAACAGCAACAGACACGGACACAGACAAGTAAACTGAATTTGTTAAATTATTACTTCAAAAATGAAGTAGTAATTATTATTATTACTAGTTATTATTATTAGTATGAAACAAATTGTGTTTTTTTTTTATCACCATGGTAGCCACACATGGCGTTCATTGCTTTATAATATAATCTGCACTAAAAATGTTCCCCAACAGATTAAATATATTTTGTAACTAAGTATATGTATCTGTTTTATAAATAAATGTGACAGTTGTCTTTATCTTACCTTTGTGTCCTGAGCTGGTCTCTGACAGCCTCTGCCCCAGATCCATCCTGTTCATGTCCATTAAAACTTCCTTCGTCACCTCCACAGACTGTTGACCGTATTTCTCCACCATCACATCAACCAGTAGGTCTACACTGTTTTCCCACAGTTGTTTCCATGAGAGTTGTGGAAGGTTCCTCTTGAACAACGCAAACTGCAGCAACCACTTGTAGGTATTGAGCTCCTTGTAACTCAAATTATTGAGTGTTTCCAAAAGCGGCTCTTTAAAAGCCGCCATTGTTGCCACCTGAAAAACAGGGGGAAAAGGATATGTTCATACAGAAAAATGTAACTGTGTGTACCTATCAGTGATAATATTTGATACATTTGAATGTTATAAGGTGTATATGTATATATGTATCAGAGGATGAATATTTTTTCCTTCTACTCTTTAATATCTGTAACCTGATTATGGGGTTGTTGTTTTTTGCATTTCCATAGTGTAACTCTTGCACTGTGTTGTCAAACAAATGAATTTTATCACCACGTATCAGCATTAATGGTGATATGAGGTTAAACCTGAATCTTGAATATAATATTGACTAAAAGCTGTACTCTGCTTGGTCAGACAGATATGACATTACTCACTTTGTGGATCAGTGCAGACAGGTGTTCATCTACTGAGTGTTTTTCTGAGGAGACAGAAAGAAAATAAAGGAAAGAGAACTGAGTGACATCAGGCAATACTGCATTGTACTATTGTACTATTTCACATTAGTAATAAAGTATATATTTGTACACCAGATGATGTGTCTTCTTTTCTCCATATTATAAATCCTATTATTTATCATGTAAAACTTTTTTTTTTTTTCACTTTTATTTATTGTCTTACTTTTGGCTCCTGAGCTGCTGTCAGACAACCTCTGCACCAGGTCAGTCCTCTTCATCTTATTTAAAACCTCCTTGGTCTTTTTCACAGACTTCTGGCCAAAGATCTGCACTATTGAAAACACTATGTCCTGCAGGTCTGTTATTTTCAGCAGCAATGATTGGGTGTCTGTTGTCTCAAACATAAATAAGTCAGGACTGAGGAATTGAAATGGATTCAGGACCTTCTTGAACTCCTCAAACTCTTCGTCACTTAAGTCTTTCAGTGTTTCCAAAAGCAGCTCTATCACAGACGCCATCGTTTCCACCTGGAAAATTCAGAGAAAAAGTTCATGGTTCAAGTAAAATTTCTAAGCAAGGATGAAGATTTTTATATTTTTAATATTATCAGTGTGTGTTTTATAAATGTAATGAGGTAAGAGTCAGTCGTATCGCACAAGGAAATTAAATTCATATGTGTCCTATTCTATTTCTATGACCATGTTTATGGCTTTACAACAGTTTTATCTGTTTAAACTAGTTCTGTGATGATTTTCAGTCTTCATGTACTGAATAAAGCTGCACTGTGTAAAGTCAGTGTGATGTGATATATCCACTCCTCTGGGTAGTGAAGACCGCTGTTTTCTCTTGAAGGAAAAATAAATTAGAAAAGACATTTTAAAAAGTGATTTAGTCATCAGGCCAAAGTGACACCATTAACAAAAAAAAAAAACACCATTAGAGCTACTTGAAGAGTGCTGAACAGATTTTGATGTATTTGTTTGCAATACGCAAAAAATTAAAACCTGATCAATTGTGGGATGAGGATGAGCATGAGAGGATGTCATACTAGCATGTGGAACCTACCGTCACTTCCCCATGGGTGTTCACACCAGCTTGCTCAAGTGAGGATCCTGCAGCTGGAACAAATTTAGAGAAAATTAAACTGGCTTAACAATGGATGGTTGAAAGTATGTTTCATCGCAGATTAACTATTTTTCCATACACACATCCTAATAAAATAATTTCTTCTGGCTAATATAGGTACAGACTTCAATTAATTTGTTTGACATCATCATTTTTTTAATTGCCTTTCAATTTTGTTCCAGTTTAGGAAAGAGCTTTAAACGATAGGACTTTTTATATTTTATATTTTTGTGGTATTGTCAACAAAACAAAAAGCCAAACCAACAATGTGGTCAGTCTGGTCTCTCCAATATTTTCTTGAATTCCCAGCTTTGTCTGTGGCATCCAGCCTCAGGTCATCTGTTCCCTACTGGAGTCTAAATCAAATGTATAGTTTTATTTTCCAAAAGAAACCAAAAAAAAGAAGGAAATACTGCATTGGGTATGTACGGCCATGCATTCATACCTTTTATTTCCTCTGTTTTCCTGTGAATAACGAGTTTATTTTCTCGAGATCTCGAGATACTGAAAACTTTGTTTCCCGAGGATAACCCTATAATTAATGATGAATAAAAAAACATACTTAATATCAAACATTTTACTGCACCAATGTGGAGAAATGCCGAAACAAAAGTCCATATTTATACCTCCAGATTCAATATTTGACATATTTGAGCTACTGTAAAAACACTTTGCTCAAGTAATTCCCTGCTTTTATGAATGGTATACTTTGACTTCCCTACACATATAGAGAATACAAGTATAACTTAATATCAAGCGTTTCTGCTGCACCAATGTGGAGAAATTTCAACAATAAAGATTCCATATTTATAACTACGTTACATATAATATAATATATGTATTACATATATGTATACCTACATATATTTATACGCGCATTGCATTCATTGATAAAAAAAAATGAATAGAACCACCATATAGATTAAGGTGTCTAATTTTTTTTTATCATAGTCTCTCCAACCCCCCATATCGGTCGTGCTCTAAACAGATGCACGGGATTTGTTACTTTAACTTCATAAACTACATAAATAAAGGATGATTTTGCTTTTATTCTTTACAGAAATAGTGTCTGTGAGTAAACATTCAGTATAATGAATAAAAATAATAGGCATATAGAAACAATATGTACAACTAAGGGGCGTAGTCCAACGAGTTGCTCGAAAAGTGAAAGTTAAAAGGTGGGTTTTTCAAATGTTTTCACTTTGATTTTGAACTTCATTAAAGTCTGAAAGGTACTAAAATATATACTCGAGTGTATTATTGGCGAGTTTCTGGCAATCCAATTGTGTAAACTGTGTATAAACTGCCGTATGATAATACTTACCGAGTCTGTTTGTGTTCTTCGTGGCAGTCGATCTGTTTGGAGTGACGTTTTTTAATTAGGCTATTAAAACTAGTTTTCACCGTTTTGCTTGACAAATGAATTAAACTGTGCAACAGCCTTCCAGAGGTGATCAGGATGGCACAAGTCTCTTCTTAAAAACGCACTTTTATAGTCTTTCCTTCCTGTGACCTTTTTACTAACCTTTGTTTGCAGTGGTTTTTATTTTATCGTTTTATTTTATTGCTGTTGTTTTTTAACCCTGTAAAAGCTCTTTGTTTTTTGAAAGTGCAGTATAAATAACGTTCATTATCATTATTAATAATATTATCATTATTATTATCATTATTAATACCAACTCATCTCCTAGGTAGGCCTTTTTAATAGAATCTGCTGTGCTGTGTTCTTTTCCTCCTTCTTTTATTCATCTTTATGTATATGTGTGTGGATGTATATCTGTTATATACCTATATAAATTTGTGTGGTTTAAGCACTTTGTAACTGCCGTTTTAAAAAACATAAATAAATATTGTTAATGAAAGAGGAAGTTTATACAAACCGAAAGTTATGATTAACTACCGTTTTAAAAAAACAACTTGTAGCTCTCCAGTTTTTAGAGCCTGATCGCCCATTTGTGTTCAATACTTGCAGAATAGTTCATCGTTGTTATTAAACGGTTTTAAACCGTGAAAGCAGTGCTCTGCTGTCCGGTATGAAGTCTTTTACGCTGGAAGCGGAACTTACCGTGAATATCTCTTCTCTCGTCAGTTTCAGTATCTTTTGAAGATTGGAAATCAGAGTAGGTTTAAAATCCAGCCACATTTCTACCTTTGACCTCTTCCCCCTGAATCCGCAACATAAACTAGTTTTTCTTCAGTCTGAGGCAGTGTTCAGTCTACAGTCCCAGATTACTTCCCTCTTTACTTCCTCAGACCCAACGCCATTACACTGCACATTAGGGTTGGGCAAGATAACGCGTTATTATTATTATTTTGAAAGTCCGTTGCTTACTGGTTCTGACCTACACATCCAGACACACCATGGGTCACAGGAGGGAGTGGAGGGAGGCCTTTGGCAGAACACGCAGCGTGTGGTAGGGACTAACTTTTTTAACAAAAGCAAGACAAGCTAACGAATGCCAAAGCGAAGTGGGATAGCTTTCAAACTGCAGGCCCGATCAGTAAATTTGAAGATGGGATCTATAAAACGAGTGACAGCAGTATGAGTCCGTCAAGACGCACCAATCACAAGAAGAATGCACGAGTTGTATGAAAAGGAGAGGAAGTTAATTCAAACTTGTCCAATGTTAACAATCAAAAAGTCGTAGACG